ACTTGTAAGTACATTATCTCGCTAGGTCATAGTAGCGTCTTGACTTACCGACGCTGAGTCGATCAATGGCTGCGTTCAGCGGACTCAACAATTGAGTGAGCGCTCACTGATGTATTCTTCCAGATCTAAAACGCTGATTAGATGATCTAAAAAGAATACATCAATAATAGTGAGCGCTCACTCAATTGTTGAGGTCTGCTAAACGCAGTCCATGTCAACAGAGCCGAAATTCCGTGTAGTAGCGCAATTTTGCAATAGATGGCGCTAGAATATGTTATTCAATAAAATCACTAGATTTCTAAGGCCGGTATTCATAGTCGATTCTTATTTCAAGATCATCTTAAGACGCTAATGCAGCCCTCTGATTGGTTCGTGACTTCTTAAGACCGTACTTAAGACGGTCTTGAATATAAAATTTAACTATGAATACTGACCTTTAGAAATTTTATTGACTTTATTACTTAGGACCAATTTCATCAAAGCCAATTACTTTATCCGCCGATTAACTTTGCGTATTGCCAACTGCTAAACTGAAAACTCATCATTTCTAATCTAATTTCGAAAGTATGTATTTGTAAAAAAATTTCAATGTTTTATTTATTATCTCCACACAAGTTCATCTTTCTTCGTTTTCTCTTCAGAAGGAAAAAAGAAGAAGAAAGATGCACTGGTATAAAAGTTCAGCAAAAGAACAGGCCTAATGCATCATGCGTGAAACAGAACCAACAGAATGCAACTATGTATGTACGTTACTGTCATCTTGCATTTCATTGAATCCGGCTCAAAACAAAAGCGTAATCATATTTGTGCGGACCCGCGGACCTGCATTTTTACATTTTTTTCGCGAGTGTCCCTACTGGTATTATACTGTAGCGTGCTGCTGGCATTTTTAATGCTTGGTGGTAATAGAAACGATAATGTAAAACTTAATTCTATTATTAAAAGTGTTAATGTATGTTTGTGTGTGCTTGAAAAGATATATTAATTTTTTTTATTATATATAATTGTTAAAGTACATTCTCATCTTGGTTTATAGAACGTAAGGTATTGTTTCTTGTTGGAAGGCGTACAGAAATCCTAAATATTTCATCAAAATGTTTAATGGCAAAAATTCAACGGATTCGTTAAATTCCACCAATACAAGATCTCCCAGGGAACGTAAAAGCTGCTTAAAGCATGCCTTGCAACAAACTAAAGTTTTACGTAAAAACTTGTTTTACTTCTTTTTTTGTTTTTTTATATTTAATATGCAATCAATTAATAAGTAATTTGCAGAAGAGAGGATCAATGATTCCACGATAAATAAATTGGATGAAGCCATAAACTTAGTTGACAATGTTACTTATGAAACAAGTATACAAGAAAAAGGTAAATTAAATTATTCTTTACATGTACTTTACATAAGTAAATGTTCTTTACATGAAAAACTAAATTATTCTTTACATGTACAATACTAGTCTTGTATATAAACATGCACAGTTTTGTATTGTAAAATGAAATATATGTAAGATAAACTGTATATATAACTGTATATATTTATATAAAAATTTGATACATATGTTTAAAAAATGCATAATGCAAGATATAATATATACGTTTATACTTTAAATCATTGAAACCTAATTGTACAACTTATGGTTAACTCTTAACTGAGATTCAACTTATTCATTGTCTCTAGAATTGGAAAGAAATGAGAAACAAGTTGAACCTCAGTTAAGAATTAACCGTGAGTTATGGAACTGGATCAAAGAATTCCATTTTCACAGTATCATTTCAACCTTGTTATCTAGCAAATATTAAACAAATGATGCTTATAAACACAATAAGCTCAAAACGTAAGACACTCATAATATTACCATTCAAAAGTTAGCAAATTTTTAGAATATATATATATTATTTATTATATTTACTCTTATCGTACAGAGAAGATTGGATTATTAGTGACAAAGCAATTCCTGTTTGTGCAAGTTTCTAAGTCTTTCAGTAATTATTACATTTTATTATCTCCAAAATTAAGTTTCATTATTTATTCTAGAAAGTTGAAAATATGAATTTGTAAAGATTTTTTTAACATTCTGAATACGTGAAAAAAAACAGATGGATTCTAGTGATCCATGTTTAGGTGGATGAAGCACTAAATTGTACCTTGTAAGGGTTAATCTTTATTTTATTTATATTTTCAGTTTCTAATCAACAGGAAGTTCTTATTGATTCACAAATGATGTCATCATCTTCTAAAGTTCTAAAAACCTGTACTGTTTCATTGACAAAGAGAATGCGTGACTATGATCACATCGACTTTTCACGAAAATTGGTAATTTACTAAAAATTATAATTATATGCTTATATTTATTTGTCTATTGCTTGTTTCTACTGATGTAATTTAATTTAATCTCAGTTTAATTAACTACGCTAGTAAAAACAGATATGTATTGTAACTATATTACAACATACACTACCAGTACTGAAAATTTAGCTTATTCTATTTAGGCTTATTCAATAAGTCATTAATAATAAATAAAAGTCAGATAAAAATTGACACAAATTACAATTGAATATGAAAAGAATAATTGACTATGGTAAGTCAGTTTCTAGCTTCTTCTGATTTATTACTACTGGCTTATTCTAAAATGTATGTACAATATACATAACATGAATTATAGATTTTCAGTATTGGCAATATATATTAGAACTATTTCTCTATTGAAATTGCTAACAAAATATCACATGTTACTATTTCTAAATAGCTTTATTTTATTATTTTTCTATTTCACTATCAAGTAGCTGTTATTGCTTATTGATGCTTTCTTAGTGACACAATATGACAAAGTGACGATATCTTTGATATTGGTAAACAAAAATATAATAATTTACTGTGTTATATTGTGTCATCTATATCTCTTGCTAGAAAGCACCCTATATCTATGTTTTATTTAGGTAAAACATTTGCAAGAAGCATCGGAAGAATCACAGTCTCCAAACTGGTCACTTTTAGAAAGACGAGTAACAAAATTATTCAAAAGGATTGCTAATAATAGCACATTATTAGGTCTGTTTAACTATTGGTATTATAAACATAAAAGAATTTATATTGCAAACATTAATTTTGTAGATATATATATTTTTTTCTTTTTAAATATTCTTTTTGGGACATATTGTTAAGTACTTTTAAGTCCACTGTTTTCTATATTCAAGAATTTAGCCAAATTTTTGTTATTATTATTTCAGGTACATTGGATCCTTTGGAGAAGAAGACAATAATTAGGAAGAAACCTGAACAAAAAATAGTATCACAAGTTGCACAGTTGACAATACCTGATAAAGTAGTGTCAAATGCAAATACGAAGGATGAAGATAGTGTGGAACGTACTGTGAGGAAGATTAAAAAGTTAATCACATGTCATTGTAAAGAAACAGGGAAACCACTTGATTTTTTTCAACTGATTCTGCATCCCGATGATTTCGGAAGAACTATTAGAAATATGTTATACGTATCGTTTCTCGTGAAAGATGGAGTAGTGAAATTGAGAAAAGGTATCCCCCCCCCCTTTTTTTTAGTAAAGTCACTTTCTTATCGATTATATAATAAAATTTAATGGTCGTTTTTTATCTTAGATCATATAAATCTTGTTGTGGAACCATGTCACAAGGAAGTAAATTCACAAGAAAAACAATCTACCAATAGAATAGGCATTCAGAATGTCATATCATTAAATATGGAACAATGGAGAGTAAGTTGAATCCTCAAAAAGTTCTCTATAATGGTTTTTTAATCATATCGGATTTCAGTTTTAACAGACAAGATTTTTTACTACTTTTACGGTTTCACATATATAAAAGAGATTTTATAAACTTTTGGTTACATATGGTATATTCTGTGATTAATTAAGTTGAAGATATATCAAACGTATTAAAATTGTGAAAAAATATTACAAAATTATAAAAATTCGTAAATTTTTTTTTAGATATTAAAAAAGGCATATCAAGTGGAACAACCAATGATTAATTTTGACGAAGAAAATTGATTATAAATATGCTTTCTTTACCAATATAAAAAAAGAATATTTTATTAAATTTATTTGTATATTTGTGACATTGCATTAGATTTTCAATAATATACTTTATTTTTTCACTGCTTACATTGAAAATTAATGAAAGATATATTTCGTATAATATTGCATAATGAATTTTTTTTTCCCCTAAATATATCAAACATACATCGTGATTACTGACACTACACACATATACAGATATATGGTATTAATTAGTGATATTTCATATTAATCACATCTACAGAGAAAGTCTAGAAGTAGTATATGTTAATGTATATTTTGATTGAATACATTCAAATAATAATTTTTCTAATAATTTTTAATAAGCGCTTTTATAAAAAGAAGATAAAACATGAAGTAGCCTTTCAAAGTAATTTAATAAATACAATTTATTGCAGTAATATTTCACAGTGCAGTAATATTTCTTAATAAGAATTCAATTTTTATATTTTTTCACTTTTCTTTTATGTTTTCAAACACTCTTAGTACTAGGATAAAATAAAATTTACTACATTTTGAGAGAGAGGATAGGTACCTAAAATCAATTTTGATCAAAACAAAACCGCATAGCTATATGTAGCACGATTATATGACCAAGTATCGATTTATCATCTCCAGCCTTGAAAAATAGACGATGTACCCTACGAAAAGTGGACGTTGCTATGTAGTTTACATCCATTTTATCAGAGGGCAGTAGTACGTGGCAACATTTGCAGTTTTGGGCCGTCATGTCTTCTCTCAGGTTTCTCTTTAGTACGTGTATTAAGTGTACGGTGTAAACTAGGCAACTGTCGACACTGGCCTAGTTTCCACCGAGAGTTTAAATTGGATCAGAATGTAAGAACCAATCAACTACAGTCGAGTATTTCCCTGTTAGGAGCTCCGCACAATAAAAGAAACAGAAAATAAGAATTTCAATCTATCAGAAATCATGTATTGTGAAATACACAATTTCTGATAGAAATTCTTATTCTCTGTTCTCTGTTCCTTTTACAGGATATGGTCAATGCGATGTTGCAAACGTTTTGAAACGTTTTTATATAGTGGAAACTAAATCACTATTCAACTGTACACACAGTTGCGATCGATTTGGACCAATTCGGAAGTTCACGCGCTTAGCCTGGATCTGCAATAGGTTTTTTAGTCTTAAACTACAAGGAATGGACGAATCATAATCAATTATCCTCCTTGCATTTAACTGCAATTGGTCAATTTCTTATGACTTAAGACTTAAAACATCTATTGTAGATCCAGACTTAAGCACTTCTAATCATTATTCTGTCTTTATCATTCATTAGAAAAATAAGAATTAGTAAAATAAGAATAGAAGTACTGAAAACGCTGAAAGCGTCTAAATCGACCGCAGCCACCATGTTATCCCTTCCACCATGCTCTGGTGACTGGTGTGATATAGAACTTGAGATGTTGAGACATGTATGTTTTGCAGGGCAGCAAGATTGATCCGGTAGAAGCCAACTTCGAAAAATTATGTTTTATGTGATAGGATTAGGTCTAGGTGACGCTAAGGATGTCACTGTCAAAGGATTCGAAATTATTAGGAAATGCGACCGCGTCTACCTGGAGTCTTATACCTCTGTCTTGACAGTACAGCAGGAAACCTTGGTTTGTATTATAAGGTTTGTTTTTTTATTCCTGCACTAAACTATACTAGAATTATTTTTCGCTGTTACCAAATATTAAACATATACCTATCTTATTTAAGTTTCAAAAGTGTACAAGTTTAGTCACAAAAACAAATCCATAGACATGTCTAGATCAAAGATGACGCAAGCTTGATTTACTGTATAGAGTAAAGCATTCGATTGTGAATCTTGTATTTAAAGATATATTAAATGTAATTTTTATGTAACATGTATCTTACATTAGGAAGAATTCTATGGACGTTCCTTGATAGCAGCTGATCGCGAGCTAGTGGAGAATTGTGCGGACGAAATACTACCAAAGAGAGAAGATGAAGATGTTGCTTTTCTGGTTGTAGGAGATCCTTTCGGAGCTACTACACATACAGATCTGGTTTTACGTGCAAAGGAGAAAGATATACAGGTAAATAGGACAGTAATATTTAGAATCATTATTTTTAGGAAATATCAGGATCATTTTACATTTTTATATGTATCTAGTAAACATTATTTTCAAATATCGTACTTTTAATTAGGTGAAAGTCATACATAATTCGTCAATACTAACTGCAGTTGGTTGCTGTGGTTTGCAACTCTATTCATATGGAGAAATTGTTTCAATTCCATATTGGATAGACACTTGGCAACCGGACAGTTTTTATGAGAAGATAGCTTCCAATAGACAGAGAGGGCTGCATACACTCTGTCTCTTAGACATTAAGGTTAAAGAACCTACCCTAGAAAGTATCATGAAGAAAAAAAAGGAGTACATGCCTCCAAAATTCATGAGTGTCAATGAAGCTGCTAGTCAGTTGATAGCGATACTTGATAATAAGATTCAGGATGGCCACAAAGATTTAGGTTGGTGGTAACAATTCTATTGTAATAATTTTATTGGAATGATATAATAATAATGATAATTATATATAATAAATTGTATAATAAAAAATATGGCAATTACATAATGATTATATAATCACAAATAATAATATTTAAATTAATAATATATCTATATATTATTTTTTCATTTAATAGCGTTTACACAGCAGAGCTTGGTAGTGGGCTTAGCACGGGTGGGATGCGAGGATCAACATATTGTCGCTTGTTCCTTACAAAATATGACGCGTGTGAACTTGGGACCACCACTGCATTGCCTCGTTATACCGGCTGAAAAGCTTCATCCCCTTGAACTGGAATTTCTAATGCAGTATGCTCTCGACAAGGATCAATTCAAAGAAATGATGCAACAATCATAACTTTTTTTTATCTTAGAAAAGATAGAGTAAATTCTATGTTTTGTACAGCAACTTAAAATAAATTAAATTGTATATTAAACTATTAAAAAATATATTTATCTTAAATGCAAGATGTATAACAGAAACTTGCATTCTTTTTATTCTTAATGAAAATATGCTGACTTTTTTTATTTTTTCGCAAAAATTAAAATCTATATTATATATCTTTTCTAGAAGCAAATATCAATTATATTTATATTTATTTTAACTCTTCGTGGTCACAAATGGTCACACCAGTATCACAATTAAAGCACATTTAACGGATTGCTGTATTTATAGTTTTCGTTCTATAAAAGCATAAACGCCTTTTTTATGTTTTGTTGTTTCAATTTTTGATAGTATGATATCACATGATATCGATTATCGATTTTTATTAAATTAAAAATGCGGTATTTATCCGTAAATTTTTTTCTCTTATTTTATCGTTTACTTATCGTAAAATTTTGCATCAATTTTGGTTAGTTTAACTTCATTATATACAAAAATTAGATATTTCTATGGTAACTCGATTTACTAAAGAACCACTTTAATTGTTCGATATTTCCGGCCATGTAACGGGTGATCGATTGCAACCGAACCATATCGTTTCGTATATGACCGTCACGGAAGGCAGAGAGAAATTGGCGACCGCGCACACCGTGTTTATGCGAACAGCATTATTATTCCATTCGTTCTGGCCCGGTTCTATATTCAAAGCCGTATATAATTCTGCGGCGGAGTCACGTGGCCGTGCGCCAGGGCAAACTAATCAATGGACAAGCATCGACCACTATGCCGACGAGGCTGGTATCGCATATCGGTGATTCAGTTGTGCTACAGGGGTGCACTCGCTCGGTGGTGGCAGCCCTTCCGTTTTGTTTCCTTGTGCAGCAGGTACACTCAGTTTCTGGGACGAAAGACAACGATATATCTGCGTTTTACGACACTGCTCCAATTTATGTTCTCGCATGCTTTAGCAAGTATACGGATTTGTACGAGCACTGTTGTCCCGCGATGAACGTAGCACTGTGATCACGCACATGTATACTGTTACTCACTGTAAATTGTTTCTGCAAAAAGAAATATAAAGTACAATTGTAATATTTTTCTTGCAATTATTGTACCCCCGCACCTATTCAGTTGGTTTGAAGATATCTTTATTAGTAAACTTATTAGTACTAGGTAAATAAATACGCTTTGTTATACATATAGAATGTAACCAAGATATAGAGGATCAAATAGAAAAATTAAATAGAAAAATAAAAAGAAAAATGTACATATATTTAGAAATTTTTTTATTAAAAAGTTACCAATAATTCAATAGTCTTTTGTAAACATAATATAATGAATTTAAAATTTAACGAATATAACATATATGCAATAGATAATTACTTTTTATTTATCCATAAAATTGTAATTTTTATGTATTTTTAAATCTTCCTCCTCAAAATGTTCTAGAAAATTTTAGACAAAAACAAACTCTTCTGTGATTTTTTCTTGACGAATACTTTCTCAATCAATTATTAGAAGATTAGGATCTGTATTTTTAGTAATATTACGCAAATTCTAAAATAATTCTAAAAAATAATTCTAAAATAATTTTTTTCATTTTAAATGTCTAGAATGCAAGAATTATACTGAAAGAATTCCTCCTTAAAAAAAAAGTAATTGCATTTCATGATGCTTGCGATGTGTTGCAGTGAAGGGAATGCGGCAGCGAAATTCTACATATATATAGAAAATAATTGAAAATACTATACATGCAATAAAGTGGCACAATGCTAAGTCCAACTCCGACGATCGATCGTTCCAATTTGCGTCCTGGCACAGGATACCTTATTGCGCCGCGGGTACCTCACGGTCTCGCGACTGTTGTCGAGGGTCTCACGAGGGAGGTCCTACGTCATCGTCCCGAGGATATATACGTTTTTGCAGCTCGCCACTTTGAAAAGTTACTAAAGTTACGTGAAGAGTACCATATCAAAGAATACAGTAATCGCAGGTTTAGCCATGAATTCAATCGCGATTTTAATTTGTGGCCTACCAAAAAAACTCAAAATATCGAAAAACCTTCAAACGGCAGTTGGTCCCTGGAAAAGGAGATCGAGATCTTCGAGAGACGTGAGAAAACAGCCGTTGACACGGAGGAGAGCCAGGAGGATGTCTCTACTGACAGAGAAAATCGGAAAGCTTCAAAACAAACATGCTCAAGAGGACCTGCGACTACGAAGAAAACTTCAAAGAAGTCGAAGGACAATGAGACAACGTCGAACGCTCGCGCGACGAGGATCATCTCTCAAATGACTGCTCTTCCTGGTAAGAATATCCAAACTAAGGATATCAAGCAGGAACTCAGAAAAAACAAACTGAGTGGCGAGAAATCTAAAGCAACTGATAGTGTTGAAAAAAGAATTCGAGGCGATAGACGATCCAAGACGAGAGCTACCAAAACAGATAAAGGTCCTGCAGAAGAGGTCGAATGTACCATAACGACGATGAAGAGTAAAACCTCCTCACGAAGACCACTGAAAAAAGTACGTCGAATTGAAACCGAGTCCGAAACTGAGACGGAACGTGAAGTCGTAACCAAGGCTGGACTCGAAAATGGGTATAACAATTTTTACTTTACTGTAATATAATCTATTTTCCTAAAATTATTTATTGTAATTATTTATAATTGTTTAATTTTTTTTAAATTTTTTAAATTTTTTATATTTTTTTAATAAATATATATTTTAGTAAATATTACGTAAATAAGAGAATTTGTCTAAACTTTTTTTTTTAAATTTCAGACATGCAAGATCGAGCATCAAGAACGACGATACGATTCGCGAGACAATCATTCGGACAGGAAACAGGGAGAGAAGATCGGAAGCTCCGCTCTCCGAACATTCCTCTGAGAGGAAAGTATCATCGAGAGCGCTTAGTATGGATCGCATCAGGGCATATGTATTGCGTAAATTTGCGAGCACCGCGAGCTTGGAAGTTTTACGATCGCCTACATACGTGGAGCAAGTGCAGGAAGTAATCGATCGCGCGGCGCCAATTATCAAGGAGAAACTAGAAGAAATCGGAAGACCACGGGGAAAACGTTCGAGATCTGTCGACCTCGCTTGGAATGACGAATTGCTTCATCAGCACGTTCGAGAAGAAAAGAGACACGGCGATGAAAAAGAAAGTGAAAGAGGAAAGAGCGGAAACGGGATGGAGCGAAAAGCTGATACCAGGAAGAAAGAGGAAATGGAAGATTCTCTTGAAAAAGAAGAGACGATTTCAATCATGGAGAATGAGGAGAAGAAATCGAGGAAGCGCAGCATAGGATCGGGCAAAAGATCAAGAAGGCGCGAAAATGGTGACTTCGGGGTCGTCGATGAAGTCGACGACAACTCGAAGCATAATAATAAATTAGAGCATAAGTCTAATGCGACGCACGACACCTTGGAAGCGAGATTAACTGCCACGCAGAGCATCTTGGAAGATATCTCAAAATCAACATCCGAGTTGGGCGGTGCTCGCAGAAGTGATCCTGCCGGAAATGAACTATCGGAATCAGAAGTGATCTCCGATCATGTCGTTTCTCTGCCTGTCGTGAGGCCGCCATCTTCTAGAAACTCCAAGAGCGCTACTAAAAACGGTTCGGATTGTCTGACGCTGCCGCCCATCTCACCGGAAGCTCCTAAATCGACAAAGAAAAAGGACGAGTTGTCCTTGCCAGTTCTGCTGACAACAGTAAACAACGGCAATCATTCCGCCAGGAAATCACAGGAGCAGGATGTTTCAAAGGACGCAGAGGAAGCCTCAACGATGTACGACATTACGAGTGATATAGAGGACATAGCGGGTTTTCCTGAAAACGATCACGAAGATGCGATCGTAGATATAAAGCAGGAACCTGACAGTGATCGCCAGGACCTGCTAATATCAGATGTCAAATTTATCAATGAAGAAGGACGTGGAAGGAACGAGGATATAGACAAAGTTTTTGATGAGAAATGCGAAAGTCTCGAGGAGTTTGAGGAATTAGAGAAATTGGAAGAAGGCAGGAAATCGGAGGAAGTCTTTATAGATAGTTTAAATATTACACCGGAAGTAGCTGACGTACCACTAAGACCAGACTCGTTAGAACCTGTTGAAGAAGTTAAACTTGAAGATGGTTATGCGAATCCTGCACAAGAGAATGCTTTCGATAGATTGAAAGATAAATTGATCGAGATCGAAATGGCGGAACGCAGTATTGAGAAAGCGTTGGCTTGCCAGGTTGCGACGTGTGACATTGACGAAATGACGAGCCAAGCGGAAAAGTCGGTAACTGATGGGAAGATAAATGAAGCAGGAGAGCCGACTAATGAGGCGGAAGAAACTGTGAATGAGATACGAAAGTCTATGGACGCGGCAAAAATACCGGAAAATAATAAAGGTGACGAGGAAAGGAAAAAGAACAATAATGATGAAAAAAGAAAATCAATGAATGATATAGAAAAGATAAAAGATGTAGCAGAAATATCAAATAAAATGGAAGATTTAAATATAGAAGATAAATTAACAAATAAACCAGAAGAAATAGAAAGTGAAATAAAGGGATCGACTAGTAGAACGGAAAATTCAATAGATAAATTAGAAGCAAACGAAATTGAAAAATTGAACGAAAATGAAGCACAAAGTTTGAAAAATATAATAGAAATATCAAAGAACGGAGCAGAAAAGATAATTGACCAAACGGAGATAACAAAGGTAGCAGAAAGTATGACGAAAGCACAAGATGAGAGATCGATAGATGAAACTGAAAAATTGAATGAAAAATTATCAAATAGCGTAGAAGAATTAGCAGTTAAGATCCATGTAAAAAATGTGCAATCCATAAACGCAAGATCGCCAGATAAGGATTCTCAGATTACTGAAGTAGTCGAAACAGATGATAATAATACAACGGCATCAACGGAAACAAAACCTGAAAATGCGACGAATGAATTTTCTCAAAGCACAACTTCTGAAAGTGCTGCGACCACGAGCGAAAGCTCGATAATGAATCTTTCCAATGAGAACAGTCAAACGAAAGCACGGAAGAAACGTGAAAGCGATAAGTTACCAATGATAACGCCG